GAACATATAAAGTAAATAAAAATCATATCATGGTTTAGTATAAGCCGATCTTTGATTGGGTGAGTGGGGGTGCTCAATTAATGACATTCTCCCCTCATACCTAAGGTTTCGAGCCAAGCATCGTTGGTTATGATGAACAGTGGCCTTGGCACGAGTCATGGGTTTCCTAATTTTCCCAAAACATTAGGTGGCGACTTTGAGATCTGGTGATGTAGTCCATTTCTAGCAATGGTTTTGCACTAAAATGGGTTTTCTATAAAAGTTGCCGGATTTGGACTCTCATCTACGTTTCACAGTGTACTCGTGAGGCTAGATCAAAGAAATCGAGGGTCTGAACTGTTTAACGCGCACGGGTACCCCCTGAGTAGTGTTACAACGCCCTTCTTCCCAAGATTTCACATCTTAGACATGGGAAACCATCCTGTCCTAATTTTGGAAATTGCTATAGTCAATACATGCACTAGGTCAGTCTGGTCAAGAAGGGTATCTCAGCAAGACACCAATATATCTACCCTACCTAATACCTAAATTAAGGGAGGATCAAGCAATACGTTGACAATCCAGATCTGAGGCTTGTATTCCCACCATAACAGTTCCCACGTCCGGCAAGCCGTCCGGGATGTTAGATGCCAAATAAAGTGACTTAAGCGCACCATGCATGAAATGCAATGAATATATAAATGTAAATAAATATCATATCATGCGAGTCAAGATCTTTTAGTTTCCTTAGCAGTGTCGCCAGAAAATGTGAGATGCTTTTGGGGTTACCAAGCACGCCCAACAGTTCAGACTCCCAATCTCCTGATCTAGTCTTACTAGTGCAATGTGAAATAGAAAATAAGAGTCCAACTCCTACAATTTTTATAGAAAATCCATTTGTTGCAAAATATGCCAAAAATGGACTACATCACCAAATCTCAGAGTCACCACCTAATCTTTTGGGAAAATTAGGAAACCCAGGACTCGTGCCAAAGGCCACTGTTCATCATAACCAAAGATGTCTCGGTTCAGAACCATAAGTATGAGGGGGGAAGGTCATGAATTGAGCACCCCCGCTAACATGATCAAAAGATTGGCCTCTACTAAGCCATGATATGAGTTTTATAAACATTATACGCTCATGTTTTGATTATTTTAATAATGCTAACGTTACTATGTGAGGCATGCAAGTATAGATCATGTCACTTATTTTGATATGCTTTCATTTTATGCATCTTTGAAAGGTTTTTAAATAAATGTATAGCTAAAAGAAAACTGAGCTCACATGCATATCAATCAATATCATTACAACCTAAGCAACACAACATTCATTCACTAGCATTCAAGGAGGTATATGATTTAAGCACATAGCCCCGCATGACAAGGTGCTAAACATAGTAAAATAACATACGCAACCGGAATACTAAAGCGATAAATGCTCACCTAGTACTCCTCCATGGCAAGCCAAAAAAATATATACAATAGATATTTTAGGGAAGAGACCAATGAGCCTTAACCCTCAACAATGATATAAACAAATATATACAATAGATATTTTATAATAAATCAACAATTAAATGAATCAAAATCAAAACAAATTCAAGCCCAAAAAATGGATAGGAACCTACATATTCGCTTTGTGAATAAGAGCAAATTAATACCCAAATCTATTCTATTAAGTGGAGAGTGTAGATTAATGCAAATGATTTCTTAGTGGAAGTTTTGCTTCAAAGTAAGAGGTTCATTAAAGGATTTTGATAACTCCTTTCTCATTCAATGAAACAAGGGTGTTCTCACCCCTTTTCATGTTCACAAATGATTGAGGAGGGAGTATTTAGCACCTTTGACATAAAATCTCTTACTTTACTTCCAAAATAAACAAAAAGAAAGATAACACAACTCTCTCAACATCAAATCCCAAGAATCACTGAAGTAACCCAATGAAACAACCATTCTACTCATTATCTTTGAGCATAGGTTGAAACACATGGATTGATGCACTTAAGAGATAGGATATGTGAAGAGGAGGATTGTAACAACAAGAAAAGCTATTCTACTTATTGAACTTATGAATGGATGGCTAATAACTACTCCCAAACACATCCACAAGGATCCAAGATACATAACAACAATGAAGTTAAAGCTAAGGAAAACAAGAAAATGAAGAGAAAAAAAACTATCAACTCAATGGATGGGTGGCTGAATTCGACTCCCTCCACATCCATGAGGACTTAAACAATCACATGATTAAAACACAACAATAATGAGATATAATGCTTATAAATAAAGAACAAGAGAGAAATATGAGAAAATTACAAAAGTTTCACCTCTTGAAAGAGGGTGAGCTTTCTTGTCCACAAACTCTCTCCTAGTATCCTCAAGGTTCTTGAAAATGGCTTAGAATCTCAACAAGAAGCTTTAAGCTTAAGGTTTAATGGTGTTTTAGGTGATGGGTGTATGAAAAATGGAGGTTGAAGATGAAGTGTAGGAGGTGGGTGTAAACAAAGCTTTAGTTTTTACAAATATTATGTAACCTTTTAGAAATATTTCTCAACCTTAGTTTTTAGTTTTAATGCAGTTTTGGGTGGTGTATCAGTGAATAATAGTGAAGAAAAAGGAGAAGGAGATTGGAGATGATATGTGGGTGTAAACAAATTTTGTAACCCTTTGGAATGAAGAAGCAGAGGTGTATTTACAGACTTTTGAGGAAAAGAAAATATCTGAGATATTTGTGGAGCAACCTTAGAGTCAAAATATCTAAGATATTTGTGTAAAATTCAGAGAAAATGCTGAATTTCCTGAAACTGCTTTGTTTTCCGGATAAATCATCTGGCTAGACAAAAAAGTGTCTAGCCAGACAAAAAATCGTTTGGCCAAACAATTTTTTTCAAAGGGGAAAATTGGATTTTTTCTAGAAAATTATCATTCCTTCCACTCATTTCCACTTTGTTCTTACTCAATTTAATAAGAAAATATAACATTTGAATTTTGAAAATACGAGTCTCAAAACTTTGTAGAAATGTTCAAATTCACACGAAAAAAATATATATATTTTGAAAAAGATTTAAAAAGGATCTAAAATAGTTTGGCGAAAATAGGTGTAAGGTTAGGGTTAAAGCTTGAACCCGAGTCTCCTACTGAGGAATTCGAATAATAGTGCATTCTTGCTCAATTTAATAAGAAAATATAACACTTGAATTTTGAAAATACGAGCCTCAAAACTTTGTAGAAATGTTTGAATCCACATGAAAAAAAAATATTTTGAAAAAGATTTTAAAAGGATCTAAAATAGTTTGGCCAAAACAGGTGTAAGGTTAGGATTAAAGCTTGAACTCGAGTCTCCTACTGAGGAATTCGAATAATAGTGCATTCCAATTTTAATCATCGGGAGTTCAAAAAAGAGCACCTAAGTCTTAAGGCGGATCAAAATAAGATGTCTATAACATGCAATACATATTTTAAGCACCTTAAACATATTTTTTATCCGATCTTTCTTCAACCTTCATATTCTATTACCATATTTATCACTTTATTTGCATCTTTTTCATTTTTTTGTATATGCATGTGAAAGAATAATGTCGTACAAACAGAGAAAGTATACAAAAAACTTATGGGTAATTCTAATAGCATACTAGCAATCCTCTCATCACACACTATTTCTCACTTCACACCACACACAATTATTATCAACTTTTTTTTTTTTTTTTGGTATTTTTCTCAATTCACACCACCATTTCCTAAAACACCCTCATCTTCAACATTTCTTTTTTCCCCTAACTCTAACCCTAAACAACCATTCATTAGCACCACCTTCGTCGCAGCCTCCCCTCCCCATTGCTACCTGTCTAGCCCCATCGCCCAATCACCACCCTTTCCACAACTCTCCTCCCTTTCCCATCACCCCTCTCCAAACCCTAACTCCACAGGCTCGCGACCACCACCATCACAACTCCCTTCGATGACTCCCACATCTGCAACCTACAAACCTTGTTCTTCTTATTCTTCCAAACCCTAGATCTAAAAACCTTAGATCTAGGGTTTGCGATGTAGCAACAAAGAAGGGCTGGAAGGGGGTTCATGATGGGAGAGGGGGTTTACGATGAAAAGGGGAAAAACAGAGGGAAGGAAGTCGCGGCAATGTTAGGGGCTAGGTTAGAGTTTCGCAGTGGTAGAAAAGAAGTAGAAGATAAATGAGAAGAAGGTGGGTAGTGACGGCGATGAGAACAATGGTAGAGGGGGTAGGTTAGGGTTTGTGGCGACAAAAGGGCAGGGGATCTTTGGTTGATCACAGCGGTTGGTTGTGGCTAGGGTTAAGATTGAACAAGAAGGAGAAACAAAGAAGAGCAAGGGTGACGCAAGAGGTAGATGAGGGAGTTGAGAGCTAGTGGCGTACCGACGGCAAGGTTTGCAGCTGTTGCTTGCAAAAGAGAAGTTTGGATTGGTGTGTCCTTAAAAGGGTAATTTCAATGTGGGACAAGATAGTTATTAAAAAAAAAAATGAAAAATTGGTGTGTACTGGGCAATTTAATGGTGTGTAAATAGAATTTATCAAAACTTATATAGAATGATGTTGCAGCATTATGAGCTTATCACTTTAAAACAAAGAATCCATCAAGTTGACTATTAATAATATAAATACCACTGTCGCATCATTCTTATAACAAATTATGTATGATTTTTTAGGAAAACTACATGTACGTGAAAGTTAGGGGAAAAAAATTACCAACAGATGAAAGGGTGCAAATGACACTTAAACCCCCACAGCCTTTTATTTGCAGCCCACCACAGACACACTTGCACCCTCATGTGTTTGTAATTTTTTTCTACCTACATGCATTATCCCCCAATTTTTTTGTAAGAATATCTCATCTTTTCAAGTGACTGCTTTTGAGTTTTGAGCCTACATTCTTGGACAAGACAAAATCTAAGCATGGACCATTTCACCAACACAAGGTCATTACATATTATTTGGAAACACAATGAGATTTATATTATTGGCAAACTACACAAACAAAAGCATGTTCATACTAAATTGTTAAATGATACTTTCATTCACTTCAAGATTATACATGTTTATACAACACAAACAAGTTTGAAAGATTGAGAAGAATGATTTCAGATCATATCCAGTTTCATCTTTCATCAGGTCAAATATCAAGGGGCTATTTTATTTATTTTTTAATTGAACTAGCAACAAGCATCTGCTAAAACCTCCTAGCAGAAAATACAATTGAGACTCTCCTTTCTTTCCATGATTGGAAGACAATGCAAGCAAAAGATACAAACAGAGAGATAACAACCATTGATCTCTTCAGGTCCTTGTTGCCATGTCCGCTGAAAGTTGGAAAACTCAATTTCTGGCCCCAAAACCACGAGGACTTGGTCTTGTTGATGCTGAGCCCGCAAACTGCCTCCTCGACTCTGACCTTCTTTTCCTCCTTGCTGTACCAGGGGGAGCCTGATATACAATGGGTTGTAAATGTTTCACTTTGTCAGATTGAGTCATAATCATAACACCAAAAAGCTAGCAAAACCAAATCAGGACTGAGATAAAAGTTTGACAATGCCTAAAAAGTGACAGGAAATAAAAAGAAGAAAGAGAACTCAGATTTGCATACCAATTTGGTTTTTTTTAACACACATCCTTTCCACAATAATCCACCAATGTGTGAAAGGGTATTATTATTATTATTATTTCACATATTGGATAAGTGGTATGAGGTTGTGGCTTGGCCTGGACGCTTCTTAAAGGCTGAGGGTTCAAAACCATGGAAGAGGATCAAGCGGATATGTATTCTTTCATATATATCGCTACGGAAGGAGAAGGTTTGTTTACAGATAAATCAAAAGGATAACTTTTGGAGGGTCAAATATGCATAAAAAAAGGATATTTATGATCCAGCCATCTAAAGTATCGATTACAACACCAGCATGGGCCTAAATAGTGCTTGTGCTTGAATTCCAACATCAGTTTTTTCCTCATTTACAACATCTCAGGAAAACAGAATAAAGATGGGATACCATATAGCAGTTACAACATACAAGTCCAACAGAAGGATGGAGGACCTATTACAGTTTCCCCCATGAAGCATATGACAAATAAATGCAATGTGAGAGTTAAGAGCATAAAAGTCAATATGCATGAACTCCAATAAAAATATATATAGTGGCATATCAACATCCAATGCAAACATAAGCAAAGGAAGGCACCTTTTCTTCAGATTTAAGAGCCTCCTCAAGATTGCTCAGTGCAGGAATAGATCCACCTTCCATTACACCCATTAAATTTTTCATACGTACACGCATTTGGAAAAGTTGTGCAACAAGTTGGTTCACCTAAAATTGTAGCAATATTTAATCATTCCAGCAATGATATATCAGAAAAGAAAGGAAAAAGAATCATCAACTTGCAGTACCAATATATTGAAGTTAAATCACCTTGCAATTCTACATACCTGTTGCTCTGTCTTCCCAGAATCTTGAGCAACTCGCTTCCTCCTGACAGGGGATTCTGCCAACAGTTCTGGTTTCTCCCTTTCCTCTGCAGATAAAGAGTTGAATCAGAGGGGTTTACAAGAAAACACTATTCAATTGATGACGAGAAAATGTAAAAAAGAGTACTTAATTAATTTGAAAACAAGTGCGGATCATATTTGAGAGATATTAGACCTATGGCAGTTTGAGAATTGCCATCATAATTACACTGAGTGCTAGCTTTTGTTTCAAGCAGAGGTGCTCATGGCACATGATGAAGATTGGCAAAAGCTGTTTAGATGCAGAAACTCAAGCCAAAGAAAAGGTGAAAGTAGATTAAAACTTCGCCATGAGCACCAAAGAGAGGTTCAAATGCCAACAAAGACTCAAAGCCGGAATACCTTTCAAATAGAAAAGGCATTAAGCACGAGCGACGATTACAGAATTACATAACCTCAAAAGAAGAACCTAAATAACAATAATGGGTAAAAGGAAAGATGCAATTCAATTCAAACCATAATCACAAGGAAGAGGACGAAATTCCATGCAACTAACTTCTGCCATGTTGTCTTCGGATCGACTGCAATTTCCGGAGATTACTTATATTAATCTGTAGTTTACAAGATCCTTGTGCTAATATAATGGCACCATCATACACACCCCACTAAATTCCTGCATGGGGTACCTCTCTTTCTAAGAAGCATAAACGGACACGCCGACACAACAATTTTCAAAAAATGTAGGACACAACACGTGGGGTGCGCACAATATATATAATTTTATATACCCATATGTCATGTATACGAATATATCATTTAAAGATAATAAAAAATATACAATATATCACTAATTTCTATAAATTTACATTATTTTTATTTTATCATTGTATCCTAAGTCACAACGGCTAGGGAGATGGAGCGGATGTGGTCCATAGAATTAAGGCGGGATGGCTTTAAGTGGAGAAATGCATCTGGCATACTATGCGATAAACGAGTACCCACTAGACTAAAAGGAAAGTTCTATAGAACGGCTATTAGACCAGCAATATTGTATGGAACGGAATATTGGACAACTAAGAAACAACATGTACATAAGATGAGTGTTGCTGAGATGAGGATGCTAAGGTGAATGCATGACAAGGCTAGAAAAGACAGAGTTAGGAACGAGTATATTCATGAATGGATAGGAGCAGTACCTATGAGAATATTAGGTTTATGTATATATGGTAGTATATATATTCTGTATATATTAAGGATTGAGTATACTTTTGTTTCCTTTTTTCAGTTCTAGGGTTTGGATTGTTATATATACTGATGTATTCTTGTATCAATTACACAATTTGAATATACAGAGTTATTCAGAATTCTTACATGATATCAGAGCAGGTTCGTGTCGTCATGAAACCCTACACCGTCGGTTGAAGAGTGTCGCAAACCCTCTTTAATCCAGTTTTCTGATTTAGGCTTTGTTGGGTGATTGCTAAAATCGCAATTTTCTGTTGGTCGTGAGTCTTCTCCTTGGTTCAGTCTGGTTCGTGATCAATCTCTCTCTCTCTCTCTCAAACTTGGTTGTCGATCGAATCTTCTTGCTTCGTGGGCCGTCTAGTTCGTCTGGGTCTTGTTCGAGTTGACCCATCTAATTCGTGGTTCGTCTGGTTCATCTAGGTCATCTACCTCGACTCTTTTTGACTCATAATCTTTGGTTGTTCGCGAACTCTCTCACTATTTCTTTAATTCTCACGAAGATTTTCTCTCTGTTTCATATTTGAGTCACGAAGCTCTTCTCTCTTGCTAGAAATGACTTCGAGAAGATTGTCTCTCTAGCTCAGCTTCACATTGCGAAGGCTTTCTTCTTCATTGGTTTTGATTCGCTGGGTATCTCTCTGGACTGGGTTTGTATTTTTAACCCATCTGATACTGTTTTTCATTTATTACAGTTTGACCCTTCAGTTCCGTGTTATTACACTTAGTCCACCATCAATTCTCTTTCTTTTTCTGATTCATTATAATGTCAGATGATAAGATCGTTAAGCTAAAAAATAGGCCACTAGCTTTAGATGAGTGTGCTTTCTGTCATCAGAAGAGCCATTGAAAGTATCACTACCCCATGAAGACCCAGTTCTGCTCCTCTTATCCTGCATCTGCCCTTACTCCTGATCCTAACTTGGCTTCCTTAAATGCTCAGATTAGTCAGTTTCAGCATATAATGTCTACCTATCAGCCATCCCCGTCTGTCTCCATTGTTTCCTCTCTTCATTCAGGTTTTTTTAGGTCTTCTTTAGGTATCTCTTTGTCTGTCTGGATTTTTGACTCTGGTACCTCTCATCATATGACTTTCCATCTATCCTTACTACAAAATTGTACTCCTCCCTTTTTTATTACTGTCAATGCTGCTAATGGGTTTGGTATGTCTATTATATTTGTTGGGTTTGTCCTACTATCTGCTATGTCTGTTGTCTCTATTCCATCTGTCTTATATGTTTCTCGGTTATTTATCAGTTTATTATCTATCAATCAACTTGATGCCTCCAGTTTTGATGTTATATTTTCTATTTCTATTTGTTTTTGTACAGGATCGGATGTCCAAGCGGCAGATTGGGATTGGCAGTAGAATTAGAGACCTCTATGTAGTGGAGAGTTTGCATCTGCCTATGACTACCTCTCCGACTGCCTTTTCCTCTTCAATTAGATTCTCTGTCAAGTCCTTTCTATTTGTGGCATTCCAAATTAAGGCATCTGTCTGCTGACAGCCTACGGTCTTTAACTCAGTCAAGTATGTTGGGTAAAGTTTTTTCTACTCACCTTAATGAGTATCGAGGGTATAAACTTGCCAAAATGACAACCTTACCTTTTTGTAAAAGTACTTCTATACTTGATCCACCTTTTTTTTTAGTTCATACTGATGTCTGAAATCCTTCTCCTGTTCTCACTAAAATGGGTTCTGCATACTATGAGTAATTTGTTGATGACTGCACTCGTTACACTTAGATTTATCTCATGACTTACAAGTCTGACTTCTACCAGATATATTGTACTTTTCAGTCTATGGTCACTACACAGTTTGCGTCTACTATTAAATTGTTACGATTTGACTTAGGTGGGAAATATTTTAAAACTGAGTTCTGTGAGTATTTGGCCAAATTAGGTACCATTTACCAGACTTCTTGTACTGATACACCTGGCCAAAATGGTTGCGCTGAGCGTAAACATCGTTATCTCCTTGAGACAGCTAGGTCTCTCCTTCTCTCTGCCTCTGTTCCAGTTTCGTTTTGGGGTGAGGCAGTTCTTACTGTTGCTTTTCTTCTCAACCGTATGCATACTTCTCTTCTCTCTGATTGGTCTCCTTATAAGGCATTGTTTTCTCAACTTCCCAATTACTCCTTCCGTGTGTTTGGGTCTACTTGTTTTGTCCTTTTATCCCGTAAAGATAGGACCAAACTAAGTGCCCGGTATATCTTGTGTGTCTTTTTGGGTTACAATCGCACTCAAAAAGGTTATCGCTATTATAATCCTGTTTCCTGTTGCCTATATGTCTCTCACCATGTTGCCTTTTTTGAACGTCTACCTTACTTTCAGCTTCCTCCTTTCACAACCCCAGTTTCCAAAGAGGATTTGGTTCATATTGATCTATTTCCTTCTGAGGTCCCTCCTGATGAGTACATCTCTGCTGTTTTCTATGAGCTTGTTCCCTTTTCTCCTCGTCTCACCCCGCCTAATGAGTTCCTCTCCCTTGACCCCCATGAGTCTGTTCCATCTTCTCCTCCTCCCCCACCACCTGCTCATTCTCTTTCTCCGTTGTTAGTCTATTCTCGTCGCAAAGCTCTCCCTCCACCAATTGTCTTTGCCCCTACTGTCGATCCCCCTGCTTCTGATGACTTTGATCTTGCTACCCGCAAGTATCCTCTTCGCATCCGTAAACAAGTAGTCAAACTTGATTTTGCTTAAACATATTTTTCTCCTTCATATTGCACCTTTTTGTTTGTTATTCACTCTTTTTCAGAATCTCAGTCTTACAAGGAAGCCTGTCAGGATCCTAATTGGGTTTAAGCTATGGAGGATGAACTGTCTACTTTGCAGAAGACTACTACTTGAGAGCTAGTTCCATTGCTTGCTGGCAAAAATCTGGTTGGTTGCAAATGGATCTATAAAGTCAAGGCTCACTCACTCTAATGGTTCTCTTAAGCGCTACAAAGCTCTTCTGGTTGTCAAAAGTTTCTTATAGGAGTATGGTAATGATTATGAGGAGACCTTTGCCCCTATTGCCAAGATGACTATTGTCTGTATTTTGATTTTTGTTGCTGTTGTTCATCATTGGCCTCTCTATCAGATAGATGTTAAGAATACTTTTCTTAATAGCCATCTCACGGAGAAGGTTGACATGCGTCCTCGCCCTAGCTTTCCCTATTCCTCTAGACAAATTTGTCGTCTTTGGCATACTCTGTATGGTTTTAAGCAATCCCATCGTGCTTGGTATGATCATTTTTAGGCAGCTGTTACTAAACTTGGGCTTCATCCTTGTGCCCATGACTCTGTTTTGTTTCTCCTTCACACATCTGTTGGTTTTGTTGCCTTATTACTATATGTGGATGATATGATCATGTTAGAATTTCCCATCTTTATCTTCACCTACTCCACTACACACTCCACTTCACCTACCTCCACTTCACCACACACTCCACTTCACCTAACCCACTATCACCTCCACTACACCTACTACCACATTTTATCTTTACCTTCACCTACTCCACTACACACTCCACTTCACCTATCTCCACTTCACCACACACTCCACTTCACCTAACCCACTATCACCTCCACTACACCTACTACCACATTACCTTCACCTACTCCACTACAAACTCCACTTCACCTACCTCCACGACGCTTCTTAAAGGCTGAGGGTTCAAAACCATGGAAGAGGATCAAGCGGATATGTATTCTTTCATATATATCGCTACGGAAGGAGAAGGTTTGTTTACAGATAAATCAAAAGGATAACTTTTGGAGGGTCAAATATGCATAAAAAAAGGATATTTATGATCCAGCCATCTAAAGTATCGATTACAAC